GGGAGAAGACAAGGGGGGATCCTTGTGTGCTTTCTCAGCCTCGAGCCTCTTGGCTTCGAGGTCCATGAAGAATCTCGCGGCAGACTCGATGCTCTCGCAGGGGGGCGTTCTCAGCTTTTCGCGAGGGCTCGGGACCTCGGAGGGCGAGCTCGCGAGACCCCAGAGGCTCGACAAACTCGTCTACTTTGTCGGCGTGCCTATCGGAGCCTCGCTGCAAAGCTGCGATGGCTCGAAGCACAAGTCCTCATGCCAACGCGGCTACGGTGAGTTGTTGGCTTCTGGCTGTCGTTGGCACGTAGTTGTTCGTTGCTCGTTGTTGCCTTCTTGTTGGCAGCGTTTGGTTGTCAGCTTGTCGTTGGTGGCTTATTGCTGTTCGCTTGTTGTTGTTGCTTAACATGTTGCTGTTGTGGCTTGCTGTTGCGCTGGTTGCGGGTGCTGCTGTTGTTCTTGTTGTTGCATGTGCTGTTGATGGTGGTGATGTAGTTTCGCTGTTTGTTTTTGCCGGCGCGGTTGCTGCTGTTTGTTATGTTGCTTATGTTGCTTGCGCGTGTTGTGTTGCTTGCGTGTGATTTTGTTCTTGATGTCGTCGGTTCTGTTGCTCTTACCCCTGTCTCTTGTTTTTTTCTCCGGCGTCCTCTCGGCCGGTGGCCGCCTCGCTCGGAGCTCCCAGCACCTCGTCTTGACTCGGCCCGAAGGTACTTCGCTCAGAGTTCCCAGCGGCTCGCGAGGCGCCTCAAGGATGAGCCAGGACTTGGAGCCGAGGCAGGAGGCGTGGCAGAGCTTGGCACCGAGTGCATGTAATCGCGCTGCCTCGTCGCGGATGGCTGGCAACGGCGGTTGCGCTCCTTCTCGGGATCGGCCTTTTACGAGACCAGCTTGACCTCCTGGTCCTCGGGCTTCTTCTCGTCGAAGCTCGTGTCCTCGAGCTTGCTGGAGTCCTCCAGCCTCTTGTCCGACAGCTTTTGCTCGGCGTGCGTGTTGTCCTCGATCTTGCTGCTGTTGTGGAGCTTATTGTCCTCGAGCTTGCAGGAGTCCAGCTCGACCTTTTTGTCCTCGAGCTTCTAGTCGTAGAGGCTCTTGTCCTGGGGCTTGCTGGTGTCCTCCTGCTTGGTTGGTTGCGTCTCCTCGTGCTGCTCGACACTGTCCCCGGCCTTCACCTCCTCGAAGTTCTCGGTCTGCGCGCCGTCTGGCGCCCGCTCGTCGCCCTGCGTCTGCTAGACGAGGAACATCAGCGAGACGACGCTCTCGCCGTCCGACCGCTTGGCGAAAAAGGCCAGGAAAACGCGCGGCTATCGTCGCTGTCCGACTCGGCCACCCTCGTTGCCGGAGCGGAAATGGAGCTTGGAATATTTGATCCTACATGGGCCACGGAAGGTGTTGCGTCATCAGCTGGTTTGACCCGAACAGCGCTTGCACCGCAGAGTTTGCGCCCATTGCACCACGTAGCTTGCGCCACCTCGGCGACGCATCGTCGGGCCTCGGCGATGCATCGGCGATGCATCGGCGATGTGGCGGGCTTGACCTGTGCAGTTGTGGCAGCTGTTGGTTGTGCTGTTGTTTGTCTTGTTGCTGGTGTTGCCTGCTGTTGCGCTGGTTGCTTGTGCTGTTGTTTGCTGTTGCTTATGTTGTTGTTGGTGGTGCTGTTGTTTTGCTGGTTGCTGTTGCTGTTGTGGCTGCTGTTGTTTGTGTTTTGTTCTTGTGTGTACGTGTGTGAGTGTGTGAGTGTGCGTGTGTGAGTGTGTGAGTGTGCGTGTGTGTGTGTGTGTTTGAATGTGTGTGTGTGTGTGTTCGAGTGTGTGTGTGTGTGTGCGTGTGCGCGTGTGTTGTTTGTGTGTGTATGTGTGTGTGCGTGTGTGCGTGCGCGTGCGTGTGTGTGTGTGTGGGTGTGTGTGGGCGTGTGTGTGTGTGGGGGTGTGTGTGGGCGTGTGTGTGTGTGTGTGTGTGTGTGTGTTCGTGTGTGCGCGTTGGTGCGTGCGCGTGCGCGTGACCGCTACCGGTGTCGAGGCTCGATCCTCGGATCGAGGACCCAGGATCCTCGAGTCCAAGCTTGGTTGCCGCCCCCCCCTTGGCGCTCGGTCTCGGTCGCTCCTGCTGCGCACTCTGGGTTCCTCCTTTGTGCAGGGTAAAAGGGGGGCCCGACTGCCCTCCCAGGTTCGGCTCGGGCCGCCCCCCCCCCCCCTCCGGCGTGGCCCCGTGCTGCGCCGGCGCCTCGCCGAGCCGACCTGGAGGGCAGCCAGGCCGCCCCGTTACCTTGCGCAAAAGGGAAGCCCGAGTGCGCCCTCTTCTCACCTGCTCCTCTCCTAGCCTCTAAGAAGCCTCTCCTGCCACCAGTTGCGGCCGGTCCCCCCTTGGGGGGTGGCCGAGCGCTCCCGGGGGGTGTCGGGGTTGGACGCCTTCGGCCGCCTCCGCCGTCCCCCCGTGCGCAGTTGAGGTTCTTAGTTGGGAGGGGGTTCTCGGAGTAGTTTTAAGTTTTATGAGTTCGGCACACCAGATGAGGGAGACGTGGAAGGACCCCCCCCCTTGAAACCCCCCGTTGGACTCGTGAGACACCCTCGCGGACCGGGGGCCCCGTGGGCCTCCGTTTGACCAGGGTCTGAGCCTGCGGGCGAGCCACTTGGACTGGGGGCGTTTCTTGGGGGGTGCGGGCCCCTGGGCCCGTGGTGGTGATTCCCTTTGGCCTGCCTCCAAAAAAGCGCGCCTCCCCCGTAGAACGACTACATGTATAGATACGGTTCCACAAGCATTGCGCGACGTAGATTGCACCACGTAGACTGCATATTATAGTTTGTTTCTCTAATTCGTTGTAGCACCATCAAGCGGCACCATGTCGATAGCATCACGTAGATTGCTCCACATGCATCTCGCAGCATGCATTGTCAGGCGCACGGTTTAGTGTCCACGATGGTTAACATGTGTATATATATACACATCTAGACATATGCATATATACATATTTGTATATACAGACAAGCATGCGCACCTCTCCGAAGGGGGCCGAGAACTGAAGTGATTATTTGGGACGCATTGAGAGCAATGAAGATCGGACGCGCTCCTCATTCAAATCGCGACGTCACGGTCCACGCGCACGATGTGTTTACATGTTCCGTCGCCATTTTGGCTCAAGCGGGTGAAAGGTTCTGGTCATTTTCAGGTCGCTTTGCTGCCAGCGGCTCAGCAACCAAGCGCGGCCTACGTGACCAAGGCGTTGCGTGGCAGCGTCGATGGCCCCGCTAGGCTTGGATAGCCACTTCTACAAGATGGTCTTGCCGATAGTAGCGTGCGAGAGCGTTCTATGGTGGTATGCCTTCCAGTACCTCCAGACTGACCCTCGGACTTGCCAGGTGGTGCTCTCTTTGCTCGGACTCTGGTGGTGCTTCGCGGCTTTGTGGGTGGAGGTGAAGATCGAGATGGCTTATCCTGGTTTCGATTACGAGAACCCGACAGACCCACAGATGAAAAGGTACAAGCCGTTCTGTGACTTCGCGCCATGGGCCACGTGCAGCGTGGTGCTCATGTCGCCACCTGGGCGCTTCCTGCGGTACTTCGGAGTCGCCAAGGAGGGCGGCGGGGAGGGCTTCATCAACTGGGCGCGAGGCATGATCGATGTGCCCAACCCTACGCTGGGAGTCCTCTATTTTGCAGCCCACCTTTTCTGGCCACTGATACTGATATTGCCGATCCCTTTTCTTCCGCAGCTTTTCTTTCTTGCGTGTATTTTTGTTGGTGGCATGACGATTTGGCTTGCCTACAACTTGTTCTTCGTCTTGAAAGACTTCTGCGTGGTCTGCGTCTCGCAGTACGTTGTGAACTTTGCCCTGATTCCGACTGTGTACCACATGCTGCACTCCAGCTACGGCATCCTCGACTTCGGCGTAGTGCCCAAGGGACTCCTCTGCCCGTTCCTCGCCCTGGACGCGGTCATGGGCGTCGGGGTACTCCTGTTGTGGCTGTGGTCGCTGCGGAACCCGCGCGCCGCACACGCGCGAGAGATCCGGAAGGAGGGATACCTTCAGGTGGGCGCCTGAGCAGGCCACCCCAGGACGCGAGCCCAGCGGCAAGTGGACGGCGGCGGGGAGAGGCGCGGAGCGGCCTCCGCGACGAGGGCGCCCTGGGGGCTCGGTGAAGACGTTGGCTGGGGAATGTCACACGACCACGCCCAGTGGTGTACATAGAGTCTAGAGGCTTTCTGCGTGCACGATTCTTTTCCGACGCCCGGATCTCCACCTCCCGAGGCGGGCACGCGCCCGGCCCTGCTCAGGGCCTCTGCCTCGGGCGCGGGGGGCCTAGGATGAGGTGGAGAGGAGAGGAGTATGGAGGCAACCGCGCTGCCCTGGCTGGCGCCCCACTGCGCGCGCGCGATACGCGCGCGGCCAGGCGACGGCGCGGGCGTGCGCGCGCGGGCGCGTGCGCCGATCCCGCCGCCCTGCACTGCGGGGGGCCGATTTTCTGTGGGCGCGCGGGCCGTGCGCCTCGCCACGAGCCAACTGGGTCCTTTGAAAGCGTTTGGGCCTGTTGTTGCAGTTTTCTGGTTGGAGAGAGCTTCCCTCCACAGGCCAGCGGGGTGGCCAGCAAGGAACGCTTAAGCTCCATGTTGCGTTGATTAAAAATGTACGATGTGCTCGCACTGCTAATCGTACACCCTTCAAGCGCACAAGGGACTTCGACGATGTTGCACACGAGCCTTACAAATTTCTGCACCGAGGCTCGCCCTCTGCTGCCCCCCCCTCTGCCGCTGGGGGCGGCGCAGGATCCCCCCTCCGTCTCTGCTCGCCCGTTGAGACGTGTTCCGTGTGCTTGTAGACTCCCAATATTGTGTCGGGCGCGTCCTTCTACAGGAGTAGTATTCAAAAGTAGTAAAAAATAGTCCGGGGAAGGTTTCTTTTACTATTTTGGATCATTTGGGGCTACGTGTTGGCTATTTTTAGTTTTTGGTTCACAATCCGCCTGTAGGGGGACATGCCCGACCTAATCCCAATCATGCCCTCTGCTGGGGGCTGCGTTGGGCGGTTCCCCGGCGGCGTTGCCTCCCCAGAGATGGTCGACGGAACCCAGAAGGGCGGCCCATGCCCCCCCAGTTGGCGGCCGGGCCCCTCCGCCCAGGAGGAACGGCCCGGAGGCAGGGGAGGAGGAGGGGGCGAGGAGGGGCTGGAGCTTCTACGCAGGCTTGTACAGTCGGGGTGCTTTCAACAAAGAAACGAAAGAAGAATGCGAGAGAGGGCGCGAGAATGAGGAAGAGGGGGAGAGAGAGAGAGAGAGAAAGAGAGAACAAGAGAGAGAGAGAGAGAGAGCACGAGAGAGGGGGAGGGAGAGAAGGAGAGAGAGATGGAGATATCACATGAGTGACAATTACGCCCAATAACTTGGAAGGGCCACTATGAGTGCTGGGGCTGTTGTTTCCGCTGCGTCAGCGCATATGATTGTGGGGTACATGGTTGATGTATATATATATATGTATGTGACATGTTTCGCTGAGAGTGGGCTACCTCTTCCGATTGGTATCTGTACGCATCAGACTGAGAGGGGCCGAGCGGTCTGACACCATCCCTTGGTGTGTGGCTGAACCGGGCTTCCGCGGGAAGGGATGCTGATGCTGTTATTTGTTTGCTAATTGTTGTTTACACAGGCCGCACCCCACCCGCGACCCGCCCACGACCCACCCACGACCCACCCGCGACCCACCCGCGGCACGCTTGCGACCCACCCGCGATCCACTCACGACCCCACCGCGACCCACCCACATTGCATTGACGAAAACTCTATGCCTGTGGCGGGCCCGTTGCCGAATGTGTAAAGTAACCAGCGCCTCTCTCTCTTGAGAGCCCCGCAGAGTGCAGACGACCCCGCGACCTCCTCACTCTTATCCGCAACTTCTGGGGGCTATGGCGTAGTTGCGCTTCCATGTGCAATGGTTTCCCCCACTTACACAGTGGGTTTCTGTCTCTCTTTGCGCACCCCCGCGCAGGATCTCGGTTCCCCCCATCTCTTCCTCAGCATCACCATCATCAGCATCATCGTCATCATTAGCATTATCATTATCATTATAATTCCCGTTATCAACATCATCACCAGTGCCATTACCATTATCATCACCACCACCATCATCATCATCATCATCACAATCGTCAGCATCAATGCCGCGACATCTTCATCGCCGTCAAATTTACGATCGTCTTCATCATTGTATTCACCACGTCCCTGAACAGCCACATTCCTTCACATCTGAATTGTGATAAGCATCAGCAGCATCAGCATCACCATCATTGTCATCACCATCCTCACTACCATCATCATCATCATCATCATCATCATCATCATCATCATCATCATCATCATCATCATCATCATCATCTTCATCATCATCATTGCACACACACCATTGTTTCACATGCTTCATCACTGCACCACGTTCTCACAATCGTCATCACCATCATCGCCATCAGCACCACTCCTTTATCATCAGTCATCACACCATTCTTCCACATTCGCCAACTCATCTTGATGAACACTCGAGCGGACGCCTCGTCTGCGAGTAGATTGTGAGGAAGTGGGTGCCCCCTCTTCGTTTGGGGCTCGCACTTCATGTTGTTAGCCCGAGCGGGCGTACCAGGCATAGCACCTGAGCAGCCCGAGGGGGGCAACTCCTGCAAATGTCTATAGGAGTCCCGTCTAAGAGTGAATCGCGAGGAAGTCTCAGGTGGGAGCCGCCTCCATATGGGGCCCGCATTTCATGTCAGTAGTCCGAGCGGGTCATCGGCATCAAAGTTCGCCAGGCATAGCTCTTGAACACTCCAGGGGGGCAAATCGTGGGATGTCTCCAGCGGGAAACTCCTCTGTAAGTGCATGGAGTGGGAGACTCAGGCGGGACCACCATCTCTATGGGGCCCGCAGCTCATGTTACTAATCACAGCGGGTCATCGGCAAACTCTACCCAGTGTAGCTCTTGAACACCCAGTGGGGGGCCTATCGCCAGGGTTTCAAACGCGGAGGCCTCTTGTGAGAGTGAATAGCGAGGAATTCTCCAGCGGGATCCCCCTCCCGATGGGGCCCGCAGTGCATGTCAGTAGTCCGAGCGGGTCATCGGCAATCTTTGCCAGGCGTAGCACTTGATCACCGCCAGTCACATGGTGGACGTCCCAAGCGGTAGCCTCGCCTGTGAGGGGCACGCGAAGAAGTCTCGAGTCCCTCTTGGGCCCGCACGCCATGTTGTTAAATATCTGGAGGCTTGCTGTGCTCGCCCGGCGTGTCCTCTCGCCGCAATGTCTTTGCGGCTTTCGGAAGAGTGGACGAGAAAGAGGATCAATAAGGATCGAAGGCTAGGGTTGTCGGATGTCTTCCTACATCCTACAGGGGGGTGTTGTTTTCTCAGGGCACCCCCGCGCAGGAACAGGAACACCCTCACGTCGTCGTCATCATCAGCATTGTCAGCATCATTACCACCATCATCGGCATCACCACCAACATCACCATCGCACTTACACTCACACAAGCACACACTCACGCGTTCTTATCGGGGAGGGATCGAGCGGGAGCCTCGTCTGTGAGTGAATTGCGAGGCAGTCTCGAGCTGGAGCCCCCTCCCTTGTGGTGCCCGCAGATCATGTTGGCAATCCGAGGCGGCCATCGGCAGCCCATGTAAAAATTTGATTTGGTGACAGATGGCAGCCTGGATCCAGAGGGAGTCTCTAGCGGGAGCCTCGTCTGTGAGTGAATTGCGGGAATGACTCGAGCGAGAGTCCAATCCCTATGGGGCCCGCAGATCATGTTGGTGATCCGAGACGGTTTTTGGCAAACCAGGTAAAACGCAGGTTTGATGGCACGTGGCAGCCTGTACCCAGAGGAAGTCTCGAGCGGGAGCCTCGTCGGTGAGTGAATTGCGAGGCAGTCTCGAGCGAGGGCTCCCTCCCTATGGGGCCCGCAGATCACGCTGGTAATCCGATGCGGCCATCGGCAAAGGTGTGGTGACACCGGTGAGCCCGGGTCCAGAGGGAGCCTCGAACAGGAGCCTCGTCTGTGAGTGAATTGCGAGGGGGTCTCAAGCGAAAGCCCCCCTCCGTGTGGGGCGTGCAGGTCATGTTGGTAATGCGAGTCGGCCATCTGCAAGCCCTGTAAAAAGATGGCTGTTGACACTTGGGAGCCTGAGTCCAGAGGAAGTCTCGACAGGAGGGCCATCATATTACTAGTCCGAGCGGGTACTCCAAAGCCTGTAGTGGTCGTCACTTCTGGGGCTCCTGAGGCATGAATCTGGAGGAAGTCTCGAGCAGCAGCTTCGTCCCGAGCGGGTGCAGGAGGAGGCGGAGGATGGCAAGAGGAGGAGGAGGAGGAGGAGGAGGAGGAGGAGGAGGAGGAGGAGGAGGAGGAGGAGGAGGAGGAAAGGGAGGAGGAGGAGCAGAATAATGAGGAGCACACCAGAGCGAGAAGGATCCAGAAGCCCCAGAAGCCTCCAGGAGGCCCCAGAGAAGGCTCCAGGAGGCAACAGGAGGAATGCCCGAGGATACCTCCATGAGGATGCAGGATGTCCAAGGAGGAGTAGGCATGGGGAGGATGGGGAGGATGCAGAAAGAGGAGGAGGCAGACAGAGAAGAAGGTGGGAGGATGAGGCAGAACGAGCCGGCAAGAGGAGAAGGAGGAGCCAGGAGGGGGTAGGAGGTGGGGGCAAGAGGATATCTCCAGGCTAGGTGAACATATTCTCTTGCGGGGTCCCACTGTCGGAGTATTGTGAAGGCCTGACGGCCGGTGCCGCCGACCCTGAAAGACATCAACGACGACCAGGAGGGGGAGGAGGAAGAGAATGAGGAGCAGGAGGAGAAGGAGGAGGAGGAGGAGGAGGCGGAGATAAGGAGGAGGAGGAGGAGGAGGAGCAGGAAGAGCAGGAGGGCAGGAGGAGGAGGAGGAGGAGGAGGAGGAGGAGGAGGAAGAGGACACCCCCCCTGGGACCCTCCCCCCCGGGGAGGAGGACCGGAGGAGGACCGGCGTGGGACAGGGGAGGGGAGGGGGAGGAGGACCCCCAGGGACGGATGCGTATTTGACTCCCTTCCTGACCCCCCCCTGGGACTCCGCCCCATTTGGGGAGGAGGGCCAGAGGAGGACTGGCGCGCCGGAGGAGGGCCGGCGTGGGATAGGAGAACCCCCAAGAGGCGATGCGAATCTGACGCCCCCCCCCCCGCCCTTCCCCCCCAGGACCCCCCCCCCGCCGCGGAAGGGACAAAGGGAAGGGGCTTCCTTTTGACGTGACTACGACGTGGGTCGATTTCCCTCAATCCCCAGACCCCCCCCCCGACGAGGAGAGTGTTCTCTCACCCCCGACGGGGCAGGATAAACAGAAAAGGCGTCCCGTCGACGGAACCAGACAGACACCCCACACACGCCGACAGGGTCGGCGGATTATTTCTTGCTGGTGCATTTCGGCTCCCTTTCTGCGAATGTTATTTACGGCTTCCATAGTTGAGTATGATTATCGATTGTTGTCTGCTTGCTCGGGTCTTCTGCTTGTGCCCATTTTGCGGAGGTGGATCCTTATTTGTTTGCTGGTCTGATCGGTTTTCATTGTTTTCATGTTCATTCTTATTGGTTCCCTTGGTAGTGGCTGTCGTAGTGTTTCCGAGAGAAGCAGTCCCCCGCCTTGGGATCAGCTTGCCGCGTTGGACACACATTTGGACGACGCGAGACCCGAACGGGCTCGAACAATCACATTCGAGGAAAAACTATGTGATCGTCTCTTATTCGTTGTTTTGCCGATCGCCGCGGGCCCTCGCACCCCCCCTTCCCCCCCTCCATGGAGTAGATCTTGGCTGTTTTTGGCGCCTGTTTCGAGCAGGTGGAGTCTCCCCCATAGGACGCACGGTTCCAAGCAGCCGCACTAAGCAGAGGTCCAGAGCGAGACCCCCCCCCTCCCCCCCCCCCCTCCGCCCAGTGCCGAACCGCCGAATAACCAAAACAAAAAAACGCCCACCTGTTGCGCTCGCACCAGAGGCTCTATCAATGGAGGTCTGGGATCGTCGGTCCGTCATTGGTCCCCCCGTGGTGTCACCGAGCCTCGCTCGTCGCGGGCACGGGCGCCCCGAGGCCCACACGCACGCCGCAGCCTCCACGGGCGGCGCCGGGAAGAAGGCCGACGAGGCCCTCCGGGGTGGGTTTTGCCAGCGTTAAGTCGGGCGTGCCCCTCTACAGGAGGAATATTCAGAGATAGTCAGATTACTCGACGCGGAAGTCACCAGATGTGGATCTCATAGTGATGGCAAATTTCGGTAGAAGACATGGTCCTTGTCAATATCCGAGTGTCAGCGAATCCACGTGGAAAACGAGGCCGAGAGAGACGCCGACGATTACAACGACTTTACGTAGTTGCTTCCTCCTTCCGTCCTCCTCCTCCTTGTCCTCCTCCTCTTTCTCCTCGTTTCCCTCTGAGCTCCTGTAAGGAAAATCCATCCGTGAAGACATGAACGGGCCCGTGCAATACCCCCTGGAGCCCCCCTTTGGGAGTGCTGAAGCCAGCGCTTCGCCCGAGACATCCTCGGGAACTGCTCCGAAAGAGACGGATGTTGAGCACCCAAACAGGCAAACCGCCTGAGACATCCACCCAATCTGGATGCAAACGGGCCCGTGATATACCCCCTGGCGCCCCCCTTTGGGAGTGCTGAAACCAGCGCCTCGCTTGAGACATCCTCGGAAACTGTTCCGAAAGAGACAGATGTTGGGCACCCAAACAGGCAAACCGCCTGAGACATCCCCCCAATGTGGGCGCGAACGGGCCTGTGATTTGGGAGTGTTGAAACCAGCGCCTCGCCTGAGTCATCCTCGGAAGCTGCTCCAAAGACGGAAGATGCTGGGCACCCAAACAGGCAAACCGCTTGAGACCTCCTCCCAATCTTGGCGCGATGGGGCATGTGATATAGCCCCTGGCGCCCCCCTTTCGGAGTGCTGAAACCAGCGCATGAGACATCCTCAGAAACTGCTCCGAAAGAGAAGGATGTTGGGCACCCAAGCAAGCAAACCGCCTGAGACCACCTCCCAATCTGGGCGCGAACGGGCCTGTGGTATACACCCTGGCGCCCCCCCATGTGGGGAAAACAGAAAAAAAAAAAAAAAAAAAAAAAAAAAAAAAAAAAAAAAAAAAAAAAAAAAAAAAAACGCCAACGCTTCGCCTGAGACATCGTCGGAACTGCTCCAAAAACGGAAGATGTCTGGCTCAGAAACCAGCAAACCGTTCGAGAGATCCCCATCATGTCTGCGCGAACGGGCGAGTGCAATACCTCCTGGTGGCTCCCCCTTGGAGGCGAAAACGAGCGCCTCGCGCGAGACATCCTCCAAATCTGCTCCGACAGCGGATGATGTCGGGCACCAAAACAGGCAAACTGTTCGAGACATCCCCGCCATTTTGGCGCGAACGGAGGAGTGCAATACCCCCTGGCGGCTCCCCCTTGGAGGCGAAAACGAGCGCCTCGCGCGAGACATCCTCCACATCGTCTCCGAAAGCGGAGGATGTCAGGCCAGGCAAGCCGCTCGAGACATCCCCGCCATTTTGGCGCGAATTGACGAGTGCAATACCCCCTGGCGGCTCCCCCTTGGAGGCGAAAGTGGGCGCCTCGCTCAAGACATCGTCCAAATCTGCTCCGGAAGCGGAGGATGTCGGGCACCAAAACAGGCAAAACGCTCGAAATATCCCCGCCATTTGGGCGCGAACGGATGAGTGCAATCCCTCTTGGCGCCCCCTCCCTTGGGAGTAGTGAAACCAGCGCCTCGCCTGAGACATCCTCACAACGTGTGTGTGAGTCTGAGCGCGGAAGTACCACGAGTGTGAGTGCGTATGCATATGAGTGATCCCGAGCATGAGAAATTGGAGTATCAAGATTCTAAAAGCGAGAGTGGCTGAGTATGAGTGAGTTGGAATATGAGTGAGCTTACATGTGAGTGAGTTAGAGAATGATGACCTGAGGGTGGAGGGTGTTGAGGGTGGGAGGTGTGTTCTCTCTCGCGTTCCGTGCGGTCTAAGTAACAACAAGAACCCCGTCCTTAGGATATGGGGAAAAAAGTCAGGGGACGATTTTATGATTATATGTTTTTATTATTTGTTGTGTATTTGTTGTGTATGTTTGATCTTTCGTGCAACATCCGCCTGTAGGTGGACGTGCCCGACCTATAGGCCAGCGCGCCCCGCCCTCCCCAGTCGGGTCGGGCGAGGAACGGCGGCGCGCCCACGCGGGAGCGAGAGAGTGCAGGCCTGCTCGCAAGGCGGCGGGGTTTCTCGGAACCCTCGCACCTTCTGGAAAGCCCCGTGCGTCCGTGGAGAAGGCTTGGAGAGCTTCTCCGTGGGGCCGGGGGCCTTCTGAGCCTTCTGAGAGGCTCGCCGCCGAGAAAACGGGGGATAGTGCAGGGGTGGGATGGTTCGAGTTTCGAGGTTTGGGGCTTCGAGATTCGGGGCTTTCGGGCGGCTGATGCGGTTCCCGGATGTCTTCTAGCCTTGGGGCGCTGTCAAGCAGAGTAACGGGGCCGCCGGGGCCGTATACGGGCCCAGCGCCCTAGAGGGGGGGGTAAGAAGCTTTTAGTGCAAGCAGTGTTTGGGGAACAGTGATGATCATATTCAGGCAAAGATGCATGTAACGGCGTCGCTGGTTTCGGACCAGGCAGCACGTGTGCGACCTAAATTAGGTTGGCGTGAGAGGGAGCATCTTTAAATCAATCTTCGATTTCTGAAATATACACGAATACATCGCCACACTTTTCCTTGGTTCTGCGCATGACGTCGGAGTGTGTAACGCACATGGCTTGACAGATAACGTGGCCTGTATTGCAGCCGTTGGACTGCCGTTAAGTCGGGCGTGTCCCTTTTAAGGGGGGAAATATTCAAACGTAGTTTTAAACATAGTCTGGGTACGATTGTTGGATTATCTTTCTTTATGCATATTTGGAATATCTTGAGGGTATTTTTTATTTGTCGTCCAAAATCCGCCTGTGGGGGGATATGCCCGACCTAAGACTACCGACCGCTGCCAGTTCGTAAGTGTTGAACTCGCGATCTGGTGTTCGACGGCGTTGTTGTTCAACAAGTCCCCTCGAGAAAAGGCCGAGAGCGCCAGGGAATAGGCGTAATCTCGGTTGGGAGTGGGAGTTATTGGTGCGGCCTCTTTTGGTTGCTAATCCTGCCCCTTGAACTGCAACTTGTGAGGGCCCCCAGCTCGTGGACACCCCCCGTCTGCTTTGTTTCCTTGTGCAGCTCGGCAGGAGAACATGGAGAAGGTGCCCTCCGGCTGGGCCACAACCAGTTTGAACAAGGCGCGCGGGTCGATAACGGGAGGTCATCGGGAATCGGCAAGGGCGGGCCAGGCGGGAGCAAATCGAGTTTGCCAGAGTGGACCTTCGTGGATGTGATAGTGGGTGGCTCGTGCGAGTTCGGTGCACGCGCCAGTGCGATTGCACAATCAGTGCAATTTGCAATGCGTATATATGTGCCTCACTGTTGTCAATACGGCCGCTGCCCCTGCTGATAATTTACATGCGTCTGGCTGTGCCGTGGTCACATCCGAAATTCCACTTGCTATACGTTTATGTCATGTGCACCACCCATCAGTATACACGCACAACTGCGCATTGCTGCCATATTGTGCCGGCATCCCTTATATCCCGCTCGTCCCTCCTCTTTTGTTCAGTGAGTGCGTTTGGTTGTTGTCGCTGCCGAGCCCCGAAAACTTTGAGGCACCCGCCCCTGGAGTCGTCATGAGCTTCAGGCGGTACGACAACTAACTTGCCCTTTCAGAAAGCACCCGCGCAATTGTGCCAGTGGAGCACCAACATAAAAGGAACTGCACGGGCTCTTTACGCAGCGCACGCCCCCACCAGCTCATCCAGTGACCAGCGTCTCCCTCTGCGAGAGGACGTCGTGTCCTCTTCGGGGTCCCGTGGGGGCGGGCGCAGGTCTGCCTTTTCAGTTCTTGCTCCATCATTTGTCTCCCTTCTCGTTGGCGCGAATGCCCCCCCCCCCCCCCAGTAACAGACACACACGCACACACACACACACACATACACACACACGCAGCTTGGAGTAGTTGTTGCCGAAAGGGGAAGGATGGAGACACCACATCTTATCATATGCTTGGCAGTCCTGTTGAAGCATGAGGGGCGGTGGGGAGAAAGGAAATAAGTGATAAGGACGACAGTGATGTGGAGGTGGAGAACGAGGAAATCGCAAGACGAGGCTCAGGCGAAGGCGAATGTCGATGGGGTGTGGAGAATGGTTAAGCTAACCAGGAGCAGGCAGAGGGGTGACATGATGGACGGTCAATCACGGTGTAATGTATGCGGTGGTTACTTTACTGGCACTTTGAGTGTACAGGCTTCCGCCCAAGGCCACGTATGTAACGCTGCACTCGCAGAGGAGCCCCTTGGGGGTGGGGGGGGGCACCACCTCCCGCCTTGAAAGCGCGGTGATTTCCCTCGTGGCTTCTTGACAGTGGTTCCTCCCGTCTCCCTCCCGACCCACCCGCCTGGCCGAGGACGATTCGTCAAGCTCGATTGGGAGTCCTCAGAGCCCTGGGCCGCGCAGGAACGCAAGCGGCATCACCAGGGTCTCGTCAGCCAGCAAGAGAGTTGTCGACGCAGGACCGCGCTCCTCCTCGCTATCCTCCTCCCGCCAGACTCCTCGTCCTCGTCGTCATCCGTGTGTTCGTCCTCCTCAATGCGCGCCCTCGTCCTCCCCGTCCGTGCCCTACATTCGCCGTTTCTCTCTCCTCTGCGTGGTCCTTCTGGCTAGAATCCGGAACCACAGGCTTTACATCATGCGTTCGAATGTCAAGAGGAGTTCACGGCCATGTTTCCCAATTCGCCGACCTCTTTGCTTTGCAGCTAGTGGTCCAGTAATAGCTCTACGCAATCGGGAGCATCAGAAACAGGTGATGCTTCTGCGCACCGCGTTGAGTAGGCCACTGTTCTGCCCCACATGCGCCCACCCCACACCGTCCCCCCCCCCAAAAAAAAACCGGACTCCCGGGATCTGGGACTTTGGGGCCCTCCGGACGGGCCTCGAAACGGCCACCGGGCCTCGCAGGGCGTTTTGCCAAGCCTTCCCAGCACACTTAGGGCGATCAGGGATGTCATCGGAGACGTCCCAGAGACCCCCAAGGCAGCACAAGAGCGCTCCAAGAGTGACCGACGTGACCTCAAGATGGCCCAAGAGGCCTCCAGGACGGCCCCAAAGAGGCCTCCAAGAGCACTCCCAAGAAGACCCCCCGAGGCAAAAATTATTGATTTTCTCAAGGTTTTTGGTGAATTTTGGGGTTCTCCTCTTTTCGGCTTCCCGGCGCTCCAAGACGGCGGTCTTCTGGGCGTCCGAAGCCGCCTGGGAGGCTCCCAAATCGCTCCACAACCATCCGAAAGGGCTTCCAGGCAGTCCAAGAGAGCCCCAAAACGGCACAACACGGGTCCAAGATGGCCCTCGGAGAGCCCCATGGCGGCCCAAGATGGCCCAAAGACACCCTCCGAAGAATTCCAAATCGTGATTCGGTCGTTCAGGGAGACGGCGGTTGGAGGCAGGGTGGCCCGAGGAAGCCCCCAGAGGCCCCCAGAATACACCCCAGGAGGCCTCCAGAAGGCCTTGAAAGCCCGAAACAACTTTTGTGAGGCCCCTAGAGGCTCTCCAAGGAGGAGCCTTCGCAAAAAAGAGCTGAGGAGGATGGGGAGAATGCGCAGGGTATGGCGAAAATTAGGAACAATAGGCATGGAGGAAGGGTAGCGAATAACATCATTATAGCGGCGATGCCGGAGAAGGCAACCAGGAGTTAGCGCTAAATTGTCGGCTTGACCTTCCTGCCATTCCGCCTGCATACCAAACCTCAAGGACCAAGGTGCACGGCGTTCAAGCTCCCCGTGTTTGCCCGGGGAGTCCGCGCGGCGCGGACGGTGGCGGTTATGCGGTCGAACAAAAAGAAAAAACGGAGGACTCCAGGAAGGTGCGTTGGCCCAGGTATCGTCCGCCCTCAGATGGGGCCCACTCCTCAGACAGGGCGCCAAAATATTCGAGCCGAACCCAGCCGCCCAGCAAGCCAGGTACGTGCCCTCACCCGCCCAGCGCATTCCACACTATTCGCACCGTCCACGTATCCTCCAAGGTGCGGCAACCAGCGAGAAAACGTTGGCGGCTCCCGCCGCGAAGGTTGCAGCCCCAGGAAGCCGCGCAGTGCGTGGGGGCAGTGAGGGAGCGCTTCGGGAAGTCTTCGATCCCACGAGAGAGGAGCTGGAGCGACACGTTGGCCTCGCACGTCCACTGCGCCGCTTCCCGCACGCACTGGCGGCTGGAGAGCGCGTCGGTCGAGCAGCCTGGACTCCTAGACCAGCCGAGCCAGCTGTGCAATTTCCATCCCCATGCGCGTGGCCGCAGTCACTGCATGATCTCTGCCAGGGTTGAGCGCTCTTGTGCGTGCGTGCCAGCGAGTGCTGGAGGTGCTTTGGGAGGCCCAGGGGGGTCTTCACGTGGCCGACCTCGAAATTGATTGCGGGGCGCATGCCCAGTACTGCTGGGCCCGTCTCTCACTGTGGTTGCTGAGCTGCCGCCAGCACCACGCGGAGCATCAGGCTGAACTTCAAGATCTTGCCGTCGAAAACCGCCAGGGCTCTCCAGCACGAGGCGGCGTGTGAATGCCCACGGAGATGTTCGTGTGGCTGACGTCGAACATATGGCCGCTGGACGTGTGTTCATCACTGTTGGCCCAGTCTTGCCCTACTGATCAGGAGCTGTCGCCAACTCCACGCGGAGCTTCTGGCTCCTGCCGCCGACGGACACCACCAGGCCAGCTAGCATGTCTATTCGCTGTTCCCCGTCTGGGATGAAGTCCTCCTGCATGCCCTGCACCTGGAAGGCGCCGAGGGCGGGATTGAGACGGAACCTACGTCCACTCGGCCCGATGCATGGTCGTGGCTTCGATCGGTCACCGTGTAGTTTGGGACTATGCGCTCGAAAGCGTCGAGAGCAGCACGCGTGGGCTCTACCGTGAGCACGTCAGGTTCAAGGACAATATTGTACTTGGCTCGTGCAGCGACTTGTGCAGCACTAGGGACAACATGAGCAGGTTCTCCTTGTGCGAGCTGCTGGTGTAGCCAGCAGGGCTGAGCAGAGGTGCGCCCAGGCGCGAAGAAAGCCCGAGGACGGGCAGCGGCTCGAACCCGTGGGCGCATGTCCCCTCGTCATCCTTTTCCTCCTCCTCCCCCTCCTGATCATCATCTCCTCGTCCTGATTTTCCTCGTCCGCGGTTTCGGAGGTGCCCGTCGCCACTTGCCGAGGCTTGCCGTGAGGGCGTCGGCTGTCTTGCTTGCCGAACTGCCGCTGCCCACACCCTGAGATCTGTCGTCGCTACGAAGTGCAAAACATCACGACCACAGCCTTTGCTTCCATCTTCCCGCGGCAGCTCTCAAGCCGGATCGATCTGTGCATGGCCCTGGGGGGGCCCGGGAACCGGGCGATCTCGTCCTGTGTGAAAACAGGGCCCCTTGCCCGGATCTCAGGGCGCCAGCACAACATCATCCCCTCGTCTTCCCCCCCGGAACCCTCCGAGGCCCTTTTGGCCGCGGGGGGTACCACCCCCAAAGGCGGGCCCGGCCGCGCGCCCCGCCGCCCGATCACCGCGAGCTGGCCCCCGCGCATGGAATGTCCGCGCGGTCGCCGCCCGCGCGGACGAGGCCAGGGGGCGGCTACGCCCGGGTGGCGCAGGAGCCCCGGGTGGGGGAAGGCGCGAACTGCCTTCGGAAGGCTCTGGGCCTCCCAGCTGGGATCGGAGTAGATGGGGTCGGTGGGTCGCGCCGCATCGCCGATGAGCCCGATGTTCTGCACGCCGACGGCGCCGATGCAGCGACGACGTCGCTGGTGCCTCGCCAATGCATAGGCGATGCATCGCCGATGCGTCGGCGATGCGGCGTGATCCTCCGACCCCATCTACTCGGACCCCATCTGGGAGCCTTCTGCAGGTACCAACTATACAGGCAGGAATTTTGGGATAGCGTGTCGCCAGTCCCCAGGCGTCAATTTTCCGAGCCCTTCCGAGCCTCCCGCCCCGCTGAGCAAGGCCAGACGTTATCCGCTCGCAGGGCATAGCGTGTCGCCGTGGCGGCCACACGCTATCCAAAAGTTCCCAACCGTAGACTTACACCGATCTTGGCCAGTCTGATCTTGGGCCCCAGATCAGTGCACCATGGCCCCAGCAGGGTAAGAGTGAGGGGGCGCCAGGGTCGTCGGCAGTCTGCCAGGCTCTGAAGAAGCCCGCCACTGTCGCCGATTCATAGTCCACGTAATGTGGGTGGGTCGCGGGCGTTTTGCGGGGTGGGTCGCGGGGTAAATCTCGGGCGGGACGACGACGACTTCAGGAATCATCTCACGACCATGTGATCTAAGAAGCCAATCTGATTTTCATGCGTCATGTCTTCTTCTTGGCACCAGCCCTCTGCATCATTGAACGCACCCTTTTTTTGTCGGGGGTGAGGGTTCATCCCAGCTCAAAGGTAAACCCAGACGGGGGAAGAACCGGCGCGGCGCGCGGGCGAATTCTCACGGGCGGACCCAGAGGGCGGAGCGCGATTCTAAGTTCATTGCGAGGAGGTCTCGGGCGGGAGCGGGGGTCCGGAATACATTGCGAGGCAGTCTTAGGTGGGATCTGATGTTGTAGGCGGCGGGTCCGGGGTTTGGACTAAGTCCCAGGCGAAGCGCCATTCCTATGAAAATTCGCAATGGAAACTAGGCCAGGAGCGGGGGACTTGAGTGAATTGAGAGGCGATCTCAGGCGGGATCTGCTGTTGAACTGTGTCATTTGTAAGGAATAAGTATTGTTGATCCCCCCTCTTGTGCTCTTCTTGTGTGTTTCAATTGAAACGTCCCTCCCTGGGCTCGCACCTCGTTGTTTCAAGGGAGAGTCTTAGTAGGCCTCAGAATATGTTGTTGGCCCCCGAACTAACACAACAACAGCTCCCGCCTGATTTTGATTCTATAGTTTGTTTTCCAAGACCGCGATCTCGCGCGGGAGTTCCTCACAATGTATCTAGGAATCGCTCTCTCGCGTTGGATTTCCTAGCAATTCAGTGAGACGCCGCGCCCCCGGACCTCACGATTTACTTGAGAATCGTGCTGTCGGTAGAGACTTCCTCGCGATTCGTGCAGGACTGATGTTTCGACGACCTGCCCGCTCGACCTGGCCGTCTGGGCCTGGCCGACCCGCCCGTTGGGGTCCGCCCGCCCGATCCGCCCGTCTGGCTCCGCCGCTTCTACTCCTGTTGTTCCTGCCTCCCTCCTGCCAATCTCTCTCGTGCTCCATCCTTATTCATCCCGCTTTGTCCCGTCCCTCCTCCCTTCCTTCCCCTGTTCTGGGGGCTGCTCAAACTACACGTGGCAGATAAGGAAGATACGCTCCCAAGAGGGTGTGGTCCAAAACGGAGATGGCAGGTATCGAGGGCTTGGGATCTACATGTCGAGTGGCATGCGAGCAGGTGGGAGCGAACAGTCTTCACACGCTTGATGTTGTAGTTCGTGGGCCGACAGCTCGCATGTGTAAGCAGCTCGCGCCAGAGCGTAAGCCTCGCTCTGAAAGAAGCTTTTCCTCCTCCCCCCTTCTCCTCTTCCTCCTCCTCCTCTTCCTCCTCCTCGTCATCCTCCTCCTCCTCTTCCTCCTCCTCTTATTTCTCCTCCTCATCCTCCTTCTCTTCCTCCTCCTTCTCCCACTCCTCCTCCTCCTCCTCCTACTCCTACTCCTACTCCTACTCCTACGCCTCCTCCTCCTCCTCCTCCTCCTCCTCCTCCTCCTCCTCCATGTTCGAGCGAATGAGCACCGTCAGTTCCCCGCAGAGCATTTTTTTTGCTCTCGAGAGAAGGAAGGGTATCCACTCATCTCACGGCCATGTGATCCTGGAGCCTGGTTTGACTTTCGTGCGTCATGCTTCTTCCTCGCACCCGCACTCTATATATCTCTGAACGCATCCTTTTTGGGGGGGTGGGAGGGCCCATTCCAGCTCAAGGGTAGACACTGACGCTGGGGAAAAAATAGACGCGTCGCGCGGGCGCACCCTCGCGGGCACTCCGTCAGGCGAGGAAGTGTCATGCGGGAGTCGCTGTTGTTGTAGCTGGGCACCCAATGGGGAGGAGAGGGGGAAGGAGGAGCGGGAGAAGAACACCAGCTTGCCCAACGCAAAGAGGAGCATGCGAGGGACGAGCACGAGGAGGAGAAGGAGGAGGAGGAAGAGGAGGAGGAGGAGGAGGAGAAGTTTTGTTCCTGCCGATGTTTGTTCATAGAGTGCTCGCGTGATCCTTCTGCGCTCCATGCTCAGGAGGCGCCGGGCGAGAGGGGCGCGGCGTCGCGGCGCTCGGCGCTGCGGAGGGCCTGCCTGGCGCCCCTGGCGCTCGGGCTGCTGCTCGGCGCTGCGGGCGCGGCGTGGTACCTCCGCGGGGGCTCTGAGGCGGGGGTCGGCGGGGGGAGATCTTCGGTGGCAGAAAGGAGGAGGATCGAGGAGAAGGATCGAGGAGGAAGGTCGAGCATGAGGAGGAGGAGGAGGAGGAGGAGAAGGAGGAGAAGGAGGAGGCACCGCAGGTGCAAGGTCCAAGAAGGAGGTGGAGGAGAGAGAGGAGGAGGAGGAGGAGGAGGAGGAGGAGGAGGAGGAGGAGGAGGAGGAGGAGGAGGAGGAGGAGGATCGGCGGCGAGCTTGGGCGGGAAGTGCGAGAGGGCGGGCCTTCTCAGAAGGCGGCGGGGCTTCTCAGAATCCTGCTGGCCTTCTGAGAAGCCGTCTGTGTCGGAGAAGTCTCAGAAAACTTTTCAGGAGGCGCAAGGGCTTCTGAGAAGCACCGCCACCTTCTCAGAAAGCCCGCCCCCTCTCACTTCCCTCGAGCTCGCCGCTGGTATATGCCGATACCCTCAGAGCTGGGGTTCGCATGTGATTCTTCCCACGTGATCTCGGGCCCCAGGACCCGCAAAGGTCGATCCGTCCGAAAAATGCGGCAGAACGATAAGGGGTCTGAGTCTGTGCTCGTGACTGATTCATGACGTGGTAACTTTTGTTGCACCGTCGGATCGCAGGGCTGCTCGGAGGAGGGCCAGTGGAGACAACGGGGGCCCCTCCAGGCGGTGCCGCCCCGGCGGCCTCGAGAAGCGGGTCGGGATGCCACCCGTGAGGGGTCCGGGGCCGATGTTGCGTGGATGTGGGCCAGGCGGGAGGGCCGCCGTTGCCTTCGGAGCTTAGGAAATGGGGGTCAATGCAAGCGGGGGTCGGCCAGAGCGCCAGCTCTTGCAGGATCCTACAGGGCCAGGCGTGCACTGACTAGGGCCTGGGCGAGGGATCCTGCAGGATCCTGTAGGATCCTGCAAAGCCTGACTGGCCTAGGTTTGGCTTTACCAGGGTCAGTAGAGATGAGTGGTGCCTGTCCCTCTACAGGAGGACTTCAAAACATAGTCAAAAACTAGTCTGGGGATTATTTTTTGATTATGTTTGATTAAGTTTGCATTCTTTTTGGCTATTTTTAGTTTTTCGTCCAGAATGCGCCTGTGGGGGGACAGGCCCGACCTAACGCTAAGCGCGTCCCAGTTCACAGGAGTCACCGTCCCAGGCTCTTCCCAGACTTCCGCCCCGCGGAGCTGAGCGATGCGCTTTTCGCTTGCATGGCATATCGTGCCGCCGTGGTCGCCGCCGCGGCACTCTAAGCCGATTCCAGCTCGATGCCTCCCCCCTCTGGGCCGAACTCCCCTAACGATTCCCCGCGTTCAAGGTTCTCGGCTTCGCGGTATGAGGCTCTCGGACGTTGGCGGTGGTTCTCTGCGGTCTTCCAGTCTCGGGGTGCTGTTCAGCAACTTCACCTGGCCGAGAGCGTTCTGGGGGTGCCGGGACCATCCCGAGCGGACGCCGAAGGCCAGAGCTATGTCCCGAGCTGGGCGCTGCCAGGAAGCCGGATGCGCCCGTCGCGCTCCGGCCACAGGGCTTCACCGTCGGCGCTTTTCGCCCCGTGCCAGCCCCGCCTTTGCGGGAGCCTTCGGAAGCAGGACGGCGGCGGGTCCGCCTGGGGAAGCTTGCGGAAACTCGGTGGAAGGCGGCGGATGTAGAGGTGACCGGGCGGGTGGCCACGGGGGGGCAATTCACGTGGGGGATCGAGGATTGCAGGAAGGTGGCCCTAAGCGGCCCTGAAACGGCCACTGCGGACCCAAAGGGTGCACGAATGGCCAGTCACCCCCGAGTATGATCCATCTCCCCCTTGACTCACACCCGAGGTGAGACGTCAGCATGCTTGGACTTGGGGTGTCTGGAGTTGGACAGATGGATGCCCGAGAGCTGGATACAGGGACTGGCTTTACCCGCGGCCGGCCTGGGCCAGCGCTTGATTGCACGCGTGGCCGCGGGTCTTTGCAGCGCTCGCCCCTCGTCCGGGCACGCCGGCCCTCCGCATGTGTAGCCAGCGCGTGGCCACCGGATTCGCGTCGAACCTCTGGTCAGACCGCACCCGAGGAGAGGTCCCAGGCTGAGCGAGGACCACTGCGTCCCTTGTGGCAGCACAAGGGCTGCAGCGATACCGGTGTCGTCTCGCTGCCCCAGGGGGCGCTGCGGCTGCGGGTGGAGGGGGCCGTCGCGGCGGCGGCCGATGAGGCGCCCTACGCCGAGGTCCCTGCGGGCCTCTGCGAGGAGTTCGGCTGGAAGGCAGCCTGTCTGGGGCGAAGATGGGGTGCGTTGGATGTCCGTTCATGGGGGCCTCCAGCGGCAACATTGAAATCAGCTTTTCCCGCATTTGGACCGCCCTTGGATCTCACCTGGGCCGCTCCTCCTGCTCCTCCTCGCCCTTCCAGTTCCCACTCCCCCCCCCTCGTTCCCCTCGTCTCCCCTGTGAAGTGGCGAATCCGGTTCAAATCCGATCCCAAACCGCCCCAAGTCTTACGCATGATGTTCCAATCTACTTCAGCCTCGATCACCAGAAATAATTTCGAGCACCAAGAAAGTACCGAAACTGGAGGGTTTTAACGCGTCGGGCCCTGGAAGGCGATACTCGTTCGACGCTGTTTCGATACTTTTTCTGGGTGCTTGAAAATAGTTCTGGGATGTGGTCCTTGAGCACTATAGGGGGCAACGTAACCCAAATCCGCTCCCAGAAGTGTTCCAAATCCGGCCCAAGTGAGCCCAAATCGGACAGTGCCGAGGGCCACGCTGGCTCCCAGAGTGGAACGGCCACCGAGGGTGCGGTCGGGCGGGTGGGCGGCACGGGTGGTCTGAAGTCGGGCATGTCCCTCTACAGGAGGAATATTCAAAGATAGCCCCCAAAAAAACAGTAGGGGGAGGATTTGTTGACTATTTGTTGGCATTTTTGAACAGTATCCGTGAGGGCTTCGCCCCCTCCGCTGGCCCCCTCTCTCGGATAATGGGCTATGCAAGAGCTAAATCATGAGACCTCGGCGCCGCCGTGAAGCAGCATCGGCAAGAGAGAAGTTGAGATTCTGATGATATTGTTGAGCTCAGTGTTGCATTTTGAACCTGCCCCCGTATGCTGTGCACTGAGGTTTCCCACAGAATTTCGGACATGTGGCAAATCCCATTGGTTTTTCGACGCTGACCCTGCTGATCTGCTTGAGGGGTGCAGCCGGATTTCAGAAATGTGGCAAATCCCATGTGTTTTTGGACCCTGACCCCGCCTATCTGCGTGAGGGGTGTTGCCGAATTTCAGAAATGTGGCAAATCCAATGTGTTGTTTGACCCTGACTCCGCCGATCTGCGTGAGGGGTGCCGCCGAATTTCAGAAATGTGGCAAATCCCATATGTTGTTTGACCGACCCCGCCGATCTGCGTGAGAGGTGCCGCCGAATTTCAGAAATGTGGCGAATCCCAGTGTTTTTTTCTTCCCTGAAACCGCCGATCTGCATGAGGGGTGCCGCCGAATTTCAAAATTGTTTTCGACCCTGAGTCCGCCGATCTGCGTGAGGGGCGCCGCCGAATTTTCAATGTGGCAAATTCCATTGGTTTTTCGATCCGGACCCCGCCGATCTGCGTGAGGGGTGCCGCCGAATTTCGGAAATGTAGCAGATCCCGCTGGTTGTTCGACCCTGACCCTGCCGATCTGCGCGAGGGGTGCCGCCGAATTTTCACTCTGGCAAGCCCCATGTGTTTTTGGACCCTGACCCCGCCGATCTGCGTGAGGGGTGTCAATTTCGACCCCCCAGAAATTTTGATACCCCTCCCAGGAGACGCTGAGCAGGTTGATTTTCGGCCCCCCCCTTCGCGCGTTCTACAACAAGGAACAGCAAGCACCATAAAGCAATATTGTAACAGTGGGAACTGGAAACTGGAACTGGCGCAGGGAACAGCAAATCCTCGACCTACAGCCTGGTGGCCCCACAAGGGTTTTTGTTCCCGGAAAGGGCGCAGGCCCAGGGTTCTCTTTTAGTAGGTAAACCTGTCCCCGGTGCCTCAACTGAGGTGGGCCGGCGGATTCTTTCCTTGATAAATATCGAGGTCGAGGTGGGCCGGCGGATTAGAATTTGAGGATGTCTCAGGCGAAACGCTTGTTTTTGAAATCCCGATCGATCAATCACAGGGTGCGGGCCACTCTTTCGTGTGTTGAGGATGTCTCGAGCGAAACGCTTGCTCCGCAGAGTTACCGAGGATGTCTCGAGCGAATCGCTTGTTTTGTAGAACTTGAGGGATCTGGGCGCCCCAGAGATTTGCTTTCTCCAGGTGCACGAACCCGTGTGTTTTTACGAATGTGCCTGTAGATTTGCCTTCTCCAGGTGTACGAATCCACACCCCAGCACGACCACATCCCAGCACGACCACACCCCAGCACGACCCCACCCCAGCACGACCCCACCCCAGCACGACCAAACCCCAGCACGATCACACCCCAGCATTACCCCACCCCAGCACGAGACCCCACCCCAGCAAGACCATCACCCAGCCCGACCACACCCCAGCACGACCACACCCCAGCACGACCCCACCCCAGCACGACCCCACCCCAGCACGACCAAACCCCAGCACGACCACGCCCCAGCATTACCCCACCACAGCACGACCTCACCCCAGCAAGACCATCACCCAGCACGACCACACCCCAGCACGACCTCACCACAGCACGACCACACCCCAGCACGACCACGCCCCAGCACGACCACGCCCCAGCACGACCACGCCCCAGCACGACCACCCCCCAGCACGGAAAGAGCGTGTTCTACCGCTGCTGGCGGAAAACCGGGGGGGGTCACTACCGGTTCGAACCCCTCCCCCCCCCCCCTCCGGAAAACCGGGGGGGGTCACTACCGGTTCGAACCCCTCCCCCCGCCCCCCCCAGCTCATCATGAAAAGGGGGCGGGGGTCACTACCGGTTCGAACCCCTCCCCCCCCCCCCTCGAAAACCGAGGGGGGTCACTACTGGTTCGAACCCCCCCTCTCCCCTCGAAAACCGAGTGGGGGTGCGGACAGTGGTGGGGAAGGTGTTGGTGGGGACAGTGGTGAGGGGATAGCGGGACAGTGGTGGGGACAGTGGGACAGTGGGACAGTGGTGGGGACGGTAGTGGTGGGGACAGTGGTGGGGACAATGGTGGGAACAGGGGGGGACAGTGGACAGTGGTGGTGACGGTGGTGGTGGGGACAGTGGTGTGGGGACAATGGGAATGAGGTGGAAACAGTGGGACAGTGGAGGGTACAATGGTGGTGGGGACAGTGGTGAAGGCGGTGGCGAGGACGGCGGTGGGACAATGGGACAGAGGTACAGTGGGGACAGTGGTGGGGACAGTGGGGACAGTGGTGGGAACAGTGGGACAGCTCAGTGGGACAGCGGAGGAGTCAGTGGGACAGTGGGGACAGTGGGGATAGTCGGGCAGTGGTTGGGGCCGTGGAGACAGTGGGGAGAGTGGAACCGTGGTGGGAACAGTTCTGGGGACAGCGGGGACAGTGCGACAGTGGTGGGGGCACTGGTGGGGACAGTAGGGGCGGTGGTGGAACCAGTGGGGACAGTGGTGGTGAGGACAGTGGTGCTGGGAACACCAGTGGGGGATGTGATGCGGACGGTGGTGGGGACCGGGAGTCGTTTGCTGGCGGTGAGTAGGGGGGGGGGGGGGGGGGGTTCGAACCGGTAGTGACCCCCCGTTTTCCGGACCCGAAGGGGGGGGGGGGGTTCGATAGTGACCCCCTCCGGGGGGAGGGGGGGGGGAGGGGTTCGAACCGGTAGTGGCCCCCCCCCTTTTCGAGCGGGAGGGGGGGGGGGGAGGGGTTAGGGGAGGGGGGGGGTTTTGCCGGGGAGAGGGGGGGGGGGGGGGGGAGGGGTTCCAGCAGGGGGGGGGGATTTTCGGAGGGGGGGGGGGGGCGACCCCCGGGTTCCGGAGGAAAAGGTTGGCAATTTTCCACAGTAAAGCGGCGGTGGATCACGCTCTCTCCCAGCACGACTACCCCCCCACCACGACCACCCCCCAGCACGACCACCCCCCAGCACGACCACACCCGAGTAAGACCACTCGCCAGCACGACCACACCGCCTTGGTTGAGTGGTTGCCTGTCGTCGTGGAATGTTTCGTGGGGTATCTCGTGGAATGTTTCGCGGGGTGTCTCGTGGAATGTTTCCAGGAAAACGTTGAAAACGGTCGCCCGTGTCTCGTGGAATGTTTCGCGGGGTGTCTCGTGAAAGTGCCCGTCGCCCAATACGGTGTCGTGAAAACGTTTCCATGCATGCGGTTCTATATCCCTTTCCGGGTTCGTGGGTCCATCATGTTTCAAACTCACTCAAGCAATCTTCGCGGCCATGCTTGGTTAATCTATCCTCTGGTGTGGTGCTGTGGTCAGGTGACAGCGGCGTCCACTGGGCAAGTTAACAAATCCTCTGGTCCGACGTCAGACGAACAGTTGTATGTCTGAAGTGATACAGACAGGTTGCGTGACACATACCATACATGGTGAGAAGATGCGAACAGCAATGTCGTAATACTCGTGATAAGGTACAGCGGTGCTGGCCCACGCCGGTGGCGTGAGCTAGGGACGGCGGGGGAGGAAGCACGGGTACCACGCCCGCTCCATGGTTCAGCGCGTGGACGATGTCTACAGAGTTGGCAGGGGGGGCGGAGAACCCCGGGGGGCCCAGGGACGGGCCCAAGAGAAAGGGAGGGAGGGAGGGGGGGGAGGGGAGAGCACGAACAACATGCCGCCCAGGCGTCAACCTGCCGACCTGGAGTGTCTGAACGGCGTCCAGTTCACGCTCACGTGACGTCCGGCCGCGTCTGGCGGCGCGTTGGCTTCAACTCTTTCCAAGACTAAGTTGCACACCGAATCCGCATCTGAGAGTTGAACTCACGGTGCACGTGGTCAATGCGTACCTCGATGACGGACTGGAGATTTCGCAACCGCCGCAATGCGGCCAACGTGCGCTCGTAAGCCAGCCTCAGCGTTGTCGACGTGCATTTCCAGCTGTAGCTGAGCTGACGGGCCACCACCAGAGAATCCAGCAAGAAGCAGATCCGCGGAGCAGGGTTTATCAAGGCATGCTGAACGGAGAGCTGCACCCCTGCATACTAGTCCTCGTTGTTGGTGGACTCTCCGAGGTGCATCCCGCAGCTCGCGACTACACGTCTGCCGCCGTCTTGACAGCGGATGCTGCCACACAATGCTCGGCGCGGCCCTGCGGCCCCTTGACGGCGGGCGGCCCCGTCGGAGGCATACACCACCCA